ATTTACGGGGCTATTTTGGTCAATTTATATTTTACAAAATATTTTTTTCATATTTTTATTAGGTGTGCCTCACTAAGATGTATATACACTCCAAATTTTAAATCATTCAGATTTATAAAAAAAAAAAAAATTGAAGCACTACTGAACAATCGTGACCATGCGAAGATTGTCTGATCGTGTTTTATTTTTCATTTTTTTTCTACAAATCGGAATGATTTAAAATTTGGAATTTATGTTCATAAAAAATAGGCGAATCTACAAAAAATATCAAAAAAATATTTTACATGAAAATAATTTACCAAAATACCCCCAAAACGTTTTAGAGATATTTTGGTCAATGTTGTTTTCACGAATTATTTTTTTATATTTTTATTAAGTTCTCCTCACTAATATGTACACACACTCCAAATTTCAGATCTTTATGATTTTTTAAAAAAAAAATGAAAAATAAAATACTACCGGACAATCGTGACCGTACAATGAACTTTGGACGGTAAAGAGAGTAGACGAAATCACTATTCAATTTATCCTATAGGTTGTCAAACATAAGTACCTATATATATTTACCTACCTGTTATCAAATAGGCCCTAGGAGTCGCATATTGATGGAGGATAATTTTAAATTGTCCCTCCAGCAAAACCAAAGTAGTTCCCAAAAAAAACCTAGATACGTAAGATACTATTTCCGGACACCAAAATCTCACTCTAAAACCCTATGAGATATTGGCATTTGTTAACATGAATATTTCACAGGTAACTAAGAAAGATATTGATATTCATAAATGCCAACATGACATTTGAAAAGATCCATACTTCATGGGGTGACTTATTTGATGAGATACTAATATTAAAAGAAAAAAAAAAAACAGCATCTCATAGGGTGTTTAGAATTCAAAATGTGATACAGGTGTTTAAAAATACTTGTATCTTGTGTAAGCTAATGCTTATGAGTTTACGTTATTTACTTTTTTAATTCAGCGGTAGGAATCGAACTCGAGATACAACATTATTTAATATCAACTACTGACTACTCAAGCCCAAGCCCAAGCCCATGCCCAAATTCTAACACCTATGAGACAATAATAGCAAAAAATATCAATATTTGATGAACTTAGTGAGATATTTGTGTTTGAAAATATTGGTGTTCAAAACTACCAATAAGTAGTGAGATATTGGTATAAAAAAAATACCAATATTTAATATAGGTGGTTTCCCAAAATTTACTTTCATTTTGATGTAAAGGCAAACTTGGAAACTGCCTTTCCAACAATATTCGACCCAAATGTTGACAAATTATCCTTGGTTTAATTTGATTCATGTCCCCCCTAAATTTATGCTATTGAGAAAGCCCCGCAAAAGCCTTTCTATTTTTTTAAACTTTTTCATGTCTTTCAAAAAATGCCCCTACTTTGTACCGTTAAGATTATGTGATGAATTCAATTCATGATTATCCAATGTAAATATTTTTAAATAGGAAAAATTTTATATAAGGTGGCAACCTTAAAATGTAGAATTAAAAGTGCACCTCAAAAGTCCAAAAAAATTTATTTTGATATTGGAAAAATTTTAATTGATCATCTCGACATCGAGATATATAAATATGAAAAGAAAAAAAGATTTCGTTGCTGAAAAATAGTGTACCTTGCAACACATTATCTGAACCATTTATTTTCAAGATTCTCATATATTTATAGATCTACTTGATTTGATCCATTTTTAGAGTTTAAAGTTTTACGGTTAGAGATGAAAATGAATTCTCAAGTCATCCTAAGAAATTTTGATACCAAATTTATATTTAAAATAAAATTTAAAGATGCGCTTTAATTGGATTATTTAAGGTTGCAAACTTATTGAAACCACACCCTTTTAAATAATGATTTTGAAACTTCAAGATTCGAAGTCATCTCGGCTTTGTACCTTTAAGGTATGAAGCTTAGACTTATATCTTTTAATATGTAAGTCTTGAACGTCCACAGCTAAAAATTTCAACAAAACACTTAGATTTGGTAGTTATTCTAGAATAGGCTTCAGTCTTTTTGAAATCATTGGCTTGAGACCTTAAAGTGGAAACCAAAAAATGACTTTGGATCTAAAGGTCTAAGGTCCTATTTTACAAAAATTTGCTTCAGATCTTCAAGATCGAGAATCATCAGTTAAGTTATCACTTGGATCTTCAAGGTAGAGCCATTATGGAGAGGGAAAAAAAAAGAAAAAGTTAATACCAATAATATAATACATATTGAGAGAATTTAAATTGCCCAAAAAAAAGAAATAAGTATATCCAAAATCACCATCTCTTTTAATACATTATACTCTCTCTCTCTCTGTTTTAGGCGATCGTGTCCTTAAAAACCCTAACTAGGGCTCAATTCATTACTAGGAAACCAATAACTGTTTTAGCAAAGATTGGAAAAGGGAAATGAGTTCGTTTTGGTATGGTTTTATACAAATTTTTCTGACCTTTTCATAATTACCCATGTTATGATGAGCTCAATCCTATAGTAAAGAGTGCTTATGATGCCCAACTTCAAGAAATTGAACTAAAAGCCTAAGCTAGGAATTTTTTTCTTTTGAGCAGTAATAATTGAATCTTCCCGAAAACCAGTTCATCTCTATTCTTCTGCAACTTTTTAAAATTACAAATTGCAGCTTTTGGTACATAATGGAAATCTTAATCACTTTCAATCAAAGACTGATTTGTTATTCACAAGGAAATTTTTGGCTCATCAATTTTCATATGCTTTGTCAAGAGATAGAGAGAGAGAATCATGTATAGAGCATAGTTAGCGAGTGTCCGTTTAAAACACGATTATCTCTTATTTTTTGAAATCCGTTTAGAACTCCAACTTTTCAAAAGATCTTAAAACAATCACGTTTTTTTCATGCAACCGATGTAATCCATATTTTATCTTTTCTCAAAAAAACTTTTCAAAAAAACTTCTTCTCTATAACTTTATTTCTTTACTAACTTAATATTATTAAATTTTTATTTAAAGATAAGCAAATTAATAGTAGGAGTAAATTAAGAATATTGATTTAAAGTAAAATTCCATAAAACGTTTCACCAATAATTTCCCTTAAAAAAAGTTTACAAAAAATTACATAAAACAAGATATCAGAACAATCTTATATCTCAAAATAATATGCAGAGTTAGAAGACTAACACAATGAAAACTGTTTTTTTTTTCTTTAAACTCAAGGCATTCTTATAAAGAGCACTTTGGGTGAGAATAGAATTTTCTTGAAGCTTTTGTATACTAAAGATTTAAGTAGCAAAGAATTCATCATGAGATTCGAATTTGCTTAAACATTTTGTTGCTTTCTTTATATATATAGAAGTTTGACTAATTGTATTTTTTTTTTTATTATTGCATTATAACATAGCATTTTGGATGGCCTATTATTTTACGTATTTGGGTATGTATTTTGTTTTAGTTAATTGCAATCCTATATTGAAGGTCTTTTTTATGTTTTTCTTCTTCAAACAATAATCATATATCTTTGTTTACAATTATTGTTATCTACAAATACAGTTCTTGTGTTAAGTATTATTCATATTTCATTTTATTCTCCAAATAAATATGTGATATGTTTCGTGTTTTGACAACAGAATAAGTACTGTTGTTGGACTTATTGAAAGTTTAGACAATAAATTGTGAAGTATAACTCTAACGACACTAGGTAAGGTCTTAAAATTATTGTTCAATGGCTTTAATCTACCTATACAATAACTGCAAATCATAATCCTCTATAATATCATCTTTACATATCCTATTTTTTCACTCTGTATTTTTGACACAACTTCAACCAATGTTAACTAAACCAATTAGTTGGAATCAAACGGTCACTATCAACTTCAACCAATGTTAACTAAAACATCACATTTTTTCTCAAACCATATTCCTTGAAATTTGTATTCTTGAGAGGGAAATCGAGTCCCTGACCAGTCCAACCAAAAAGATAAGTTAGATTGGCCTCTAGAAAAATATTAAAAATAAAATAGTGAAGACAATATGACTAAAGCTATCTCAACCGTTCATTTAAATCAAATATTAATTGCACATATTTCATATGTAAGTGACAGAACATAGAAAGGTTACCTTGTATCATATGTTTTGTATATTAAATATTCATTAAATTTTCGTAAAATATAGTTATTAACAGATACAGCAGACATTATTTAAAAATAACGGACAAAATTAACTCTTGTAATTGATGTAGAACCCCGCTTCCCCACCTTTTGAGAGACAGTACAACAGCCATTAGGCTGTTATGTAACGACCGTCATTTTCATACACCACCAGTTTATTCAGAATAGTTGTTGCTTAATGCAACATTCCGGGGTGTTTCCATTAGAATAGCAGTTATTAAATGTTCATTTCATTGTTTTCTTAAGAAATGCTTCAAACTAATATAATAATTTCACAAGACTTCCAAAAATAAAGGAAAACAAAGATACTCATCCTTATGCTTTAGGTCTTTCTTCAGCTAGGAAGGAGCCTTTTTCTCTCCAGTATTTAAGCTGGACGAAAATGCTAAAAGAGTGAAGAATACAGTCTTATCTCAAACATGGTTGCATCTTTCCTCCTTCCCTTTTTAGGGTTCTTTAAGGGGTTCCTTGATTTGGGTTCAAGCTCATAGCACGATTGGCAGGGCATTGTTGTCTGCTAGTTGCTAACTTAAGGTTATAATTTCAATCCTTGCTTACATACCAAAAATAAATTAAAAAAGGTCTGCAAATTTCACATATTTGCTGCAAAAAAAGAATGATATCACTCCATATTAGGATTTCAAATCTCAACTGAGACTCTCATTAGAAATTGACAGTCAAGGTATTTCATGATTTTTACACTATCAATAGATTCTTTTCGCGCCATATTATAAAATCTACCAATGATATCACAATATTTGTAAAAAAAGATGGATGCTAATAGGCATAGTTTTCTGCCAAGTACCTCTCAACTCCTCTGCATCTCTTTTGCCAAAGAAGGGAGCCATCGCTCTCCTCTAAGACTCTTCAAAGCTGCAACTCTTTCTTCCTCTCTCTTGGTTGCAGCCTTTGTTGCAGCTTCTCTCTCCACAAACCGATCCAATGATCTCTGGTGTGCCACCTCAGCCGCAGCTATTATATCCTCACCATCCACCACAACTGACCTAAGCTTTCGAACGAACTACATATGGACATACAAGAAATTATTCCTTCCCATTGTTTTCTTATTTCTCATAGAGGAGAGACAAATGAAAGTCATGCCCTGGAAAATAAAAGAACAATAGAAGAGTGATTTATGCTGGTTTAAGAAAATATTCAGAGGTTGAACCTTCTTTGATTTCTCATTGATGCTCTCAGTTGGAAGAATTCTTGGTCGCTTTCTCTTCACAGGAGTTGCATCTGAGGAAAACAGTTAGTTTTAGAGGATAACCTAATTAATTGAAGGGACACGCGCACACACAGATCATACCTACAGTTTCAAAAGTTATTCCACAAGGAGCTCGGCTGAATAAGCGGACACCATCTTCCTCATTAGCAACATTATTGCCCTCACGAGGTGGGATAGGATCCCTAACCATTACCAAATTTTTGTCTAAGAAATCGTGTAAAAGGTTTTGTGCCTGCCAATACAATCAATTAAGATTCTCAAGTCCATACACCAAAAGAAAGGAAGAAGCATAATGTCTCAGAAGCACAATATAAGGTACCATCCCACACTTTTAGCTAAGCAATACACAATATCGACAGATTTTCATATGCATAGAATGACAAATAATACTGTAAATATCAATTATTTCGTTAGATTCTGCAAAGAAAATCCTTAGGGTCATTTTGGATCAATTAGTACATAGAAGAGGGATATTTCGGACATGTAAAGATGGAAGGTATTTGGTAATTATTCCTCTTGGGATTAGAAGTTTAGCCATGCGAGATATGTCTCAGTTTCATCATATCTAGTAACATGAAGTAGGTGAGGAAAAATGAGAACAGAATATGTTAATCCTATAAATATAAAAACTACAATCAAATAGAAGTTTTACAAGTACTTTAGAAAATCAAAAATATTTTGGAGAGAGTGCAACCAAATGACCATTAATTCTACTATCAGATGATACTCAGCAACTGGCCTGTTACCCAAGCTATGGAACATGCAGTAGGCAATCATAAGATGGCAAACAGGTTTGGTATCGTTGGTCTTAAAAGTGCAAAAAAAACAGGGTGAAGATTTTTTCTACAGCAATTCAATAGGAAAAACAAAACATGACACCAGATATTTAGAGATTGCACAATTTGCAGAAATTCTTCTAGCTATGACAGGATACAATTCTGAGTTAAGATTAGGACATCTACTTTCCAGCAAGAGAACAGCTTTCCCTTTAAAATTTATCACGTACTCTACCCTTGAAAGATGGCAGAAAACAATTACTAACTCCTGCCATCTTTGACTTGTCAGCTGCCTAGGCATGCCCCACAACAAATTTGATAAATGAGATATTTCTTAAGCAAGCTGCTATTTCCAAATCCTCTGTGATCCCTAAGATCTTTTTCCATTTGCCTCTCTTAAAGCTTAGATGAATTTGGCCGACAAAGGAATACTTCCTCATTCATAACTGAGACATAGTGCTTTACTTGATTACCTCACGAGAATGAGGGTCAGAGATCCAATGTATACAGGAGTGCATTTCCTCAGTTTCATTTCTGAACTTAATTAACAGCAACCCCTGATGCCCAGATGCTTTTAGAAGCTCCTAAAAAAGGGAATTCTTCTCCTCATTGATCCCAATGTGTCTAAAGGCATTGAGTCAATTGATCGCTAAGGCATTTGGTGTGGGCCTTCTAGCTAGGATTTGTATTGGTTGTGGTAGGGAGGTCCCTTTGGTGTCCATATTCTGCATTTCAATCTATTATTATAGGAGCCAAGTATAAAGGACTAAATATAGGGAGGAGATCATTGCCCATTATTACAATACTATCAAGAAAGATCGGATCCGAGGTTGTGTGACAATTTGGCTGCCTAAATGCCACAGAAACAACATGAGGTTCATATGTCCTTTAAAACACCACCAATGTATAGGGCTGCCAATGAACAGGGCTGGGCCCGGAGCTTCCGGACCGGGCTCAGTTTCGGACCTCTGGCGGACCAGCCAACAGGCTGATTCCGAGCTTCAGTCCAGGCCGGTCCGGGCTATAGATAGATATAATGTTATTTGGGCAAGCCTGGCCGGACCGAAAAAAGGCATGTTTTGCCTATCGGGCCTTTTCAGTTTTTTTTAATTTTCAAATAACAAATTTATTATTAAAAGAAGTAGCTTTACCTTTCCCCCTTTCTCTCTCTCAATTCACTGTTTACCCAAATAAACCTAATCCTCTCTCTCTCTAAACCCTAAATCATCTCGCTCTCGCTCTCTCTGTAAACCCTCTCACTCTCGCCTCTCTCTCTCTCAAAGCCCCCTCTCTCTCTATAAACCCTCTCACTCTCACCTCTCTCTCGCATTTTGTCACAAAGACATCGGTCTCTGCTCTCTCACAAAACCCCCTCTCTCTCTCTGGCCTCACTCACAAAGCCCTCTCTCCCATAAAGCCCTCTCTCTCTCTCTAGAAGCAGATCGACCACCACTCTCTCTCTAAAATCAGATTACCAACAAAAGGAACAGATCAACCACCTCTCTCTCTGTGATTAGATCACAAAAAAATAGATATGTACTTTTTGTTTGGTTCCAGAAATTGGGTTTCGTTTTTTAGGGTTTCTTATCAATATTAAAATATGGAAAATTCATGTTTTTTTTTCCCTTGAGTTGTTTCCAAAATTTAAATTTTCCTTTTTTTTTTCTTGGATACCATTGATATATACATAGATGGGTTGAAATCAGTTGGCGGGTTATCTAGTTCTTGATATGTGGGATTGGATTGAAATTTGAGTTGGGTCCTGGTGTTAGTTTGGGCTCTCTCTCTCTCTC